CGACGAAGGAGAAACCGACTGGAACGTGATCGTGATAAACGTGGAGGACCCCGAGGCTGAAGACTTCAAAGGTCTGAGAGCTTTAGCTTCAGCGTTTGTGATGAGCACGAGGGTCCATCTCAGCGTCTTCTGTCTCTCGCAGATATCGAGGACGTCCGCAGACTGAAGCCCGGATTCCTGCAGGCCACACTCGACTGGTTCTGGATGTATAAAGTCCCAGACGGGAAGCCGGAAAACCAATTTGCCTTCAATGGTGAATTTAAGAACAGGGTAAATAGAGCCGACGCTTAAATGAAAGACAGGAGACGAGATTTGAGTAATGACTTCTTCCTGACGGCTAGTAATGAAGATGTTTTTCCCATCATATCTCGAAGGCAAGAGGATCCAAGCATGTCATTTTCAAGAGATGATCGTGTCACTGATTAAATTACTAGACATTCTCACAGATCTGAGATCAGCGGTGCGTCTCGCTCCTCCAAACTTTTCAAAACTACGAGCTGCTAAACATTCAGAAGCTCATCTCTCATTTCGGTGGAAAACATCAGGAAACACGTCACTAAAAAACATGCTTTACCGCTGTTTACCTTCACTCGTAACACCTGCTTCATATTGTCAACCACTGAGAACACAACATTCTGGTTTTTTTTTTAAATGTAACAATAGTTTGATTCTATTGTTTTAAAATGTTGCAGCAAATGTATCTTTCTTATTTTTAAATGTTTAAAAACACAATACATTTACATTTTAGTAAATATACATAAAGCTGCTTCAGAATGTCATAGAAGAACCTTTTTGTCTAAATGGTTCCATAAAGAACATCTGAAGAACCTTTCTGTTTCACAACAGCTTCTTTGTGGCGAAAGAAGGTTCTTCAGATTATAAAAAGCTAAGAGATGGTTCTTTAAAGAACCTTTGACTGAATGCTTCTCTGCGGAACCAAAAATGGTTCTTCTATGGCATCGCTTGAAGAACCTTTTAAGCAGCTTTATTTTTAAGACTGTATATCTTTTTAAGGTATATGTTTATCAGCAAAACATACCATGTCTTTTTTTTATTTTTAGTAAATATTCTAAATCATTTTTAAATGTTTACA